AAGAAGATTAGTTTTTATTCTAACCAACGGAAAGAGCTCTGCACTTTTCATCTGCTGTGCAATTTCCTCTGGTTCCTTGACATGATGCTCACTCGTGCACTCACTCACTGCCAGTTCAATGGCAATCCTTTTCCATTCCACCTTTTCCCTTCTTTGCAACGGCAAAGATCGTCGGCCCTTTGCTGGGCTGCTTGCTTATAAGCAGGCACATTCTGCTGTCAATCTGTCGTATCATATCCGTTGCTGCTTGGTGTCCGAACTCCAAAGCGAGAGCTCAAACTAGCTAGCTGGTACTGGTAGCTTGCATGAACAACTCTCCTAGCTTGCTCTTCTTCAACCTCCGGTTCATCTTTGTTCACCTGGGCTAACAATCTCCCTTTCTACTCCGCTATTGCAGGTTAAACCGAGTTCGCCATGGGTCTCCAAAGGAAGATTTTGGGAAAGAGAACCATCCAGCAGGTGCCTGAAGAAGAAGTGGAAGCTGTTAGTATTCCGCAGCTGGTGGAGCTGCGGTCGCTGAAGCTGAAACGGTCTCACTCCCACGGCGACGACGAGGACGAAGGAGGTGCACGACAGCTTTCACCGCCGCCGTCGGCGAACGGCGCTGGAACTGAACGCCACCTGCACTGCCCGCCGGCGCCGAAGAAGCCGAGGCTCGTGCTGGGGTGTAGCCTGGACGGATTCAAGGTGCTGCGTGTCATGGACCTGCGTTGCTTCCTGCGCTGAGGGCTGAGCCAGTGCCATCCATGTAGCTTTTGAGTTTTGACTGCAGCATCAGTTCAACTTAATGAAAAACGCGTCAACGGACGTGTTCATGGAAAAAAAAAAGACTGCAGCATCAGTTATATTTATCTGTCCAAGTTCCAGATGTCTGACCTGAATATCTGATCGTAGTATGCTCTGTCGAGACGCGCATAATTCACCAATGTAATGGCGGTCAGTTGCCAGCCATATATTTGTCAATATCCATCTGGATTCGAATTTAGACTTGGCTTAGGAGACCGTGTATTTTTTTTTTCTAATATAGAAGTGTGAGCGTCGATATTCATAGCTTTGCATGAATGTAGGCATACATATATGGATCTATATTGTGTTTTAGAAAAAGTACTAAAAAAGACATACAAGTAATGGGACAATTTGTATGTGGAATCTAGGTGTGGAATTGTGGAAAAAAATATAGGTGGAGACGGGACGAAATTAAGCAGAGTTTAAGCCGTCTCTTTAATCCTGTCTTTCAGGTGAACACTCACATGCCGTTGCTTCAACTCAACCTTCAACATTTTATCTTCTTCCCCCATAAAAAGACTCTGTACATAGGGGCAGGGATCACTTGGTGCACCTGGACTTTTTGCATTTTGACATTGATCCTGGGCAAGCTGACAAGCTCAGGGAAGTTCATTGATTGGAAGCCTATTGCTTTCTTTGTTGCAACACTTGTATTGTGTAGCACCGGCTGGAATGTCGTCACCTCTACCATGCCAGTGAGTGCAAGGCAACTTATTCCGTTCAATACATGGCTATTATTTAGATCTGCAATTTTTGTGCCCATGATTCCATACCTAGTTCCCTTTCTGTCGTGCAGCAGTGACCAATTCTCCTTTGATTTCGCACGGGTCCATTCCAAAAACGAAGTTGTTATTTTGCCGTTGCTGTCACCAGCATAATTTCTTTAGGCTCTGTCTCTTTATGTTCAGTTGACTCCTGAGGCATATCGACATTAGCACCACTTTCTTTCTTGCCATATATTTTAATGACAACTCATCTAGCTCCTTTCATATTGATCTTTACAAACTTACTTTGTCGGTTCTGTTGGCAATGTCACTGTGAGAGACGGAAGCTGGCTACGGGAAGAGCTGGAAAGTAGAACCGGAGGAGGAAGAAGAAGGAGAAACCAGAGGCAGCGACAGACGAGTTCTTAGTTTAGGAACGGTTCAGAGTTTACAATTCAGATGATCTTTTCCTTCTTACTCCCGGTCACTATATCATTATAGAGGCTCAGCCTCAATCGCGCCTGCAAGCGCCACACCGATCAAGCCCATTGTTCGCCGACCACTCGCGGGTTGGGCTTCCTGGGCCTTCGTCCACTGGGCCGGACTCCGGGTGCTCCATCTTGGGCCGTGTCGCTACGGTAGCTGACATCCCCTCCCCCTTGGAATACTGCTTGCCCCCAAGCAGTGGAGCGGGGATACTCCTGGCGAACAGCTTCAAAATCTTCCTAGGTAGCCAATTCCGACGGCAAGTTGTTCCATTCGACAAGTACCTGAGGTATAGTCGAAGACCCACGAACGACCATACGCATCTGCAGAACCTGTTCTGGAGCCAAGTGGATGGCAAAGTCAGATGGTAGAGTGGGGAGTACTTGCTGCTTGGCACCAACAACTGCTTGGTTGCCAGAGACATGAAAGACCGGATGTATCGCCCGAGTGAGCAGCAAATCTAGCTTATAAGCCACCGAGCGATCGCGCGCGAGAATCCGGAATGGTCCGGAAGAAGCGGAAAGCAAGCTTTCGATGAGAACGTGGAGCCGAGAAGTTTGGATGTATGGCTGCAATTTGAGGTAGACGAGATCACCTTCTTCAAAACTGCGCTCGGATCGGTGTTGATCAGATTGTTTCTTCATCCGTTGCTTGGCCCGGTTGAGGTGGTTTGAAGAAGCTGGTCCATCCACCGACGGTCGGAAGTCTAGCCGATGACGTCCGGATGCGAGCCAGCCAGACACATCGAGAGCGAGGAAACGCGGAGGATAACCATAGAGCGCCTCAAAGGGTGAGCGACCGATGGCGAATGGTGGTGCGGGAATTATACCAAAATTCGCAGAGAGGGCAGCCATGGCTCCATTTGTTGGGCGGGCATGAACAAAGCACCGCAAATAAGTTTCGAGCTTTCGTTAACCCGCTTCGATCGACCATCCGATTGGGGTGATAAGCATGTCTTTGCGGCAAAAGGAGACGTCAGCCCGGCTTGAACAGCTCGACCAAAAATGACTTGTAAAGATACGGTCACGATCCGAAATGATAGAGCTCGGAAGGCCATGCAAGCGATAGACATCTTTGGAAGAAGGAGTTAGCAGCTGTGGCGGTGTGAAAGGGTGACGGAGGGAATGAAATGGCCATACTTTGTTAGTAGATCCACTATTACCAAAGCACACAGTTGAAGGATTGAGATAAAGGTAGTCCTCGATAAAATCCATCGATATCACCGCCACGCCAAATCGAGGGAACCGGCAAGGGCTGCAAGAGACTGGCGATTTGGTTCTATCATACTTGGACTGGCCGATGATGGCACAAGATCGCACAAAATGCTTCATTGTAGTTTTCATACCTCGCCATGCAAAACATCGCTTGATCCTCATGTATGTGGACTGGAATGCCGAATGACCGCCCTGGGAACTAGAGTGGAACCGGGAGATAAGTTGTTGTTGGAATGTTGGGTCATCGCCAATCCAGACGCGGCCCTTGTAATGGAGTAAGCCCGACTGCAGGGAATAGTGAGGTACAGCCGTTGAGTCCACCGACAACTTGGTGAGCAAGGAAGTAGCAAAAGAATCCTATCGATAATCGGGTCGAATCAGAAATCCAGGAGGGTACCAAAGAAGAGACGAGGACTTTTACACACACAATTTGGAGGAGAGGGGTGGCGAGACAGTGCATCCATTGCCTTGTTGGCCGAGCCGAAGCGGTAGACAATGCGGTATTGGAGGCCAAGCAGTTTGAGAAAACCCGTTGTTGCTGGGTGGGTGTGCAACCGTGATCGATGAGCCGGGTCAAGCTCTTCGATCGGTAAGAATCACAAACTCCTCAGAATCGCAAGTAAGGGCGCCACAGTTGTACAAACCCAAAGAAGATGGCCATGAATTCTTTTTCATATGTTGATAGGCCACGGGACTTGGAGCCCAAAGCTTTACTGAGGAATGCCAGGGGGTGACCGTCTTGCATGAGGACAGCACCGACACCCAACTCTGATGCATCTGTTTCAATGGAAAAAGGTTTAGCAAAATTGGGAAGAGCCAGCACTGGAGCTTGACAGAGGGCAGTTTTTAAGGTCTGGAAGGCAGAGGCGTGATCAGGAGTCCAAATGAACAAGGAGTGTTTCTTTAGGAGAGTGGTCAGGGGTTTGGAAATGATGCCAAAGTGGCGAACAAAGCGGCGGTAATAGCTAGCAAGCACCAAGAAGGAACGAAGTTCTTTGACATAACTGGGAGTTGGCCAAGAGGAAATAGACTCAATCTTAGATGGGTCCGTACCCACACCGGCCTGACTGATTACATGACCGAGGTATGAAAGCTTGGTCTGAGCGAAGGAGCATTTGGACATTTTCAGCTTCCATTGATCCTTAGACAGCAACTCAAACACAGTGCGTACATGCATGAGGTGGTCCTCCCAGGTTCGGCTGTAGACCAGGATATCGTCAAAGAAGACCAAGATAAACTGCCGGAGACAAGGAGCAAGAGTTGTGTTCATGGCATCTTGGAAGGTCCCTGGGGCTCCGGTGAGGCCAAAGGACATAACCCGAAATTCAAACTGACCAAAGTGTGTTTGGAAGGCAGTTTTGAATTCGTCCCCCGATTTCATGCGGATTTGGTGAAAGTCGGACTGTAAATCCAATGTGGTGAAATAGGCTGCGCTGGACAACTCATCCAGTAATTCCTCGATAACAAGAACAGGATATTTGCCTTTGACTGTTATTGCATTGAGCTGACGGTAATCGACGCAAAACCTCCATGACTGATCCTTTTTCTTGACTAAAATAACCGGAAAGGCAAAAGAACTGGTGCTCTTCTGAATAATGTCCTGTTGAAGCATGTCCTTAACTTGCCTCTCAATTTCTGTTTTCAAAACAGGGGCATACCGGTAAGGCCGCACAAAGACTGGAGGAGCCCCGTAGATCAGAGGAATGGAGTGGTCACAGTGCCGGCTGGGAGGCAATCCTGAAACTGGATCAAATAGATGAGCATATTCATCCAACAATGCGGACACAGCCGGATGCAATGCTGAAGATGACTAGGAAGACTCATCATGCTGTACCAGACAGAGCAGAATGACAGAGCCCACTGGAAGGTCTGCGGAATCTCCAATCAATATGGCTGTAGCTCCCTCGTATGGAATGGAGATCCATTTTTGAGCCCAGTGAACTTGCATCGGGCTAAAACTGGCCAGCCAATCGAGACCTAGAATCATATCATAAGATGAGAGGGGCAACAGCTTAAGATCAGTGAGAAAGGAACAGCCCTGCACTGACCAACGAGCACCAGGCAAGAAGGATGTGCATTGTAAAATGGCTCCATTAGCAACCTGCACCTGCACCTGAACTGGAGACGGAAGATCCTGGATGCCGCTGAGCGACTGAGCCAAGGCAGAGTTCAAAAAGGTATGAGACGAACCGGAATCCACCAAAATTGACAGAGGGTGACCTTGGATGTGGCCAGACAAGCTGAATGTCTTGGGGGAAGCTGAGCCCACTGCCGCTGCCACCGAGAGGTGCATCATGATCTGATCGGCCGGGGGTGAATCCTCAGAGCACTCGGCTGCATCAAACTCCGGAAATAAGTCCATCAATTCTTGCACCAGATGTAACTGCACCATGTCGGAACACTTGTGTTCACGGCTCCACTTGGCGCCACAGCGGAAGCACAGACCCTGGGCACGGCGTGAGGCGCGTAATGCTTTGAATTTGTCCTCCGCCGAGGATGGCAGAGCTTGGGGCAGCCGCTTACTGTCACCATCAGCAAGCTTCGGCGGCGGTTGAGGCAGCGCCAAGCCGCTAGGCCAGGCCGGCTTATATGCAGGTGAAATGTCCAAACGCCGAACCGGCCTCTTGTTGAGTCCCAGCGCTTCTTCCTACAATTGAGCGAGAACACAAGCAGTATCCAAAGTAGAAGGACGTTGAACAAGAAGAACAACTTTGATATCATCACGCAAGCCATCCAGAAAACGTTGGGTATAGTAAAGGGGGTCTGGGTGTTTGGTATAGGCTTTCAGATCATCGACTAGAGCAACGAACTGATGGATGTAGTCATTGACAGGGCCGGTTTGCCGAATTTGGAACAAGCGACGTAACAAGAGCTCGTGCTCATCCCTGGCAAAGCGCAAAAGTAATTGAGAACAAAATTCAGACCAAGTAATTGTCGCAAGCTGATCCTCAACAGAAGAGAGCCAACGTTTGGCTGCACCATGAAAGTGCATAGTGGCCGCTTGCACCCAAACCACGGACTCAACATGATAGAGTTCAAAATATTGAATGGCTTGCTTGATCCACAGCTTGGGATGATCCCCCTCGAACTTTGGGAAATCAAACTTAGGCAGCTTGCCGGTATGGCCGCCCCCAAACCCCCCTGGAAGCTGGACTCGTACGAACCCCCTGGGTGCGGCTGAGGTGGACGAGGTGGCGAGGGGCGGGGAGGAGGACTAGGTAAGGGATGCGGGGAGAAAGGAGGGCAAGAAAACGTACCCTTACCGGGAGGTGGAATCAGAGTGGTAACCACTCCGAATGCACCTTCCCGGTTCATGATGTCAACGCGGTGCCCACTGGGCCGAGGGGCTGCATATCCCGCAGATGGGCGCGGGGCAGCAAGAATGTCGCCGAAGCCGGCAGATCTGAAGTGCGGAGTGACGACGGGCTTGGCGTCGCGGAGCGAGGCGTAGGGCGACGCAGGAGCCGAAGCAGACTTGGTGGCGGGCGCTGTCGCTATCACCCTGGGAGTTGCAGACGGCCCATCCACCATGGAGCGTTCCATGTACTTGGAGATCTTCCCCACTTCGAGCTTGAGAGTTGCGAGCTTGGTGACTTCGAGGCGAAGGTCGTCGATGACGCCGTCGACGCCCGGGCGCCATTCGTCGAACACCTTGGTTGCAGACTCCAAGGCATCTAGACGGGTGGAAGAAGACGCCGCCATGGAATCGAGCTTCGCCGCCGTGGAATCGAGCTTCCGCTCCAGACCATCGAAGCGCTTGTCCTGGGCGGCGAAGCGCTTGTCGAGCTCGGCCAGCAGGGCCTTCTGGTCGGGACCCATGGCACCACGGTGACGTTGAAGACGAGTGTAGTGGTCGTGGGTGGGGATGAGGGCAGGATCCAGATCGGCGGAACACACCACCAATTGCGACTTCGGGACTGGAATTACGGAATCTCCAAAGGGAACTGCAGCTCATAGCTCCGATTTAGGGTTAGACCAACCAAATCCAGTGAAGTGCGAGCAATCGATGGATGGAGGGCGCGGAACCCGACTGTGGCCGAGAATCGGTGTCTCTGATACCACTTGTGAGAGACGGAAGCTGGGAACGGGAAGAGCTGGAAAGTAGAACCGGAGGAGGAAGAAGGAGAAACCAAAGGCAGCGACAGACGAGTTCTTAGTTTAGGAACGGTTCAGAGTTTACAATTCAGATGATCTTTTCCTTCTCACTCCCGGTCACTATATCATTACAGAGGCTCAGCCTCAATCGCGCCTGCAAGCGCCGCACCGATCAAGCCCATTGTTCACCGACCACTCGCGGGTTGGGCTTCCTAGGCCTTCGTCCACTGGGCCGGACTCCGGGTGCTCCATCTTGGGCCGTGTCGCTACGGTAGCTGACAGTCACTTAAACAGCTCTCTTATCCCCAAGATGTTAGATGTGCCTGCACATCTTTCCATGGGAGTGACTCCAGACGGTTACAGCTATTCTTAGAGTCCCTCCATAGCATCCTGCAACTCCCTTTTTGCAGTCATGTATAATGCAGACATCAGGTTGCTCCTTCACGATTGTTTGCTCTGTGCAATTGAGGAAGCGTAAGTAACCCAAGAAACATACAGATGTCTCTTCAAATCTGTGAGATTATCATTTGACTGATGCAGATTATCCAGTTATGCCAGATCTTCCCATTCAGGAAGCAGTCATGAAGAGAAAATTTGGCAATTTCTTTCGCAGAAGAGTTACATGTCACTGCATTAAGATGAAAAATTAATGGTTACAACACATCCATGTATGTCTTCCCTTCTGGGACGATGTTCTACAAGCTAACCTGAATGGAGCACGTGGTGCGAAGTGTCGACCTTTCCATTTTGGCAACAAGCATGAACTGCAGAAGCAAGTACACGCATATTAAGCCGCTACCCCACATCCAACGTCATCTCTTGTGTGGTCCTTATTCTGTGCCTGCCAGCCGACTCCGTCTACGAAATCGGATGTCAACCGTGGGACAGTTGGGAAGCATCTTTACTTGGCCACTGATGACAGACTTGATGGCCTTCTCCGCGGGATCATTTTCACCTTCAGAAGTAATCCGGATAGTAAGACCGATACGTTTGACATTTGAGAGGTGCCCAATGCCAACCTCCAAACTGCCATATGTTGAAAGTGCTTTATCTGTGTCGAATTCGAGCCTAAGCCATTCCAGCATTCGCATGCCTCCTTCAAATACCAAACCAGGTCCATCTATATTATAGAATTGGAAACATGTTAGACTTCGAAATGCACCGTAACTGACGATGAGTCCATCTTCTGTAACTTGCTTCACATCAAGGTATAGGAAACGAATGGCCGGCAAATCTTCAAGAATACGTAGATGTTCCCTCTCCATCTTTTGAACACGTATATCCAAGTAGGTGAGATCACATAGACAGGAACTGATCCACTTTGGAAACCTGCAGTGTTGACCATCATGAATAAACTTTTGGAGGAGGAGCGGAGGAGGGCACCAAGAATCCACAAAACAATCTGCACGACCATCATACTCATCAATTTTGACATCTCGAAGGTTGTTTCCTCCAAGTTTGTGGAGGGATGTCATCAAACATTCTTTTCTAGTTTCCCCATTACTTGTTCTGACCCCGCCCAAGAACCTCACTTGGAGCACCCTCAAGTTGCTCAAAAGTGCTAGATCTTCCCCGAAATATATGGAGCAATTGCGGCCATCAAGAGACCCTAACTCCTCGAGGGATTCCATGTTACCAAAGCCATCTGGCATGATGAGTCCCTGGCCAACAAGACGCATCAGTCGCTTGAGATGAATAGTACTTTCTGGCAGGCGTGTTACTCCAGTTCCGTTCACATCGAGAGTCTGCAGATAATGTAGATTCCCAATTTGAACCGGTAGCATGACACCGCTTGTTCCACGGAACCCTAGATATCTCAGATGAAATAAACTCAAAATGCAATTGAGGTCGACATTCTTGAAAGATCCGCATCCCTCAAGATCTAAAACTCGAAGACAAGGTAGGTGAAACGTTGGAGGCATCTTCAAGCTACCTCTGCATATACTAAATGAACGGAGATGAGACAGATTCATGTCCCCTCGAGATATTTGCAGTGCATATCCTGGATTTTTCCAGAGAGAGAGACGACGTATCCTTTGATCTGAAGATGGAAGGCCCTGGCCATCCAACATAGTTAAAAAGTTCTCTTCAGCCGACCGAGACAAGAGGAAGTTCAATACAATATCATGGACTAGACATCCTTCTTCTCCGTGCATTTGATATCTTGGAATCGAGGTTACACGGCGGACCAAACTCCTATTTATGAACTCATAAAAGTAACTCTCGGCAACTTGCTTCAAAGTAAAGCCTTCTTTCTTAGTGATAAAACCTTCAGCTATCCATCTCGATACCAAGATATCTTTGGAAATCATATAATCCTCTGGAAATGTACTGAGATACAATAAGCAATTTCTCATATTGTGAGGTAGATCTTTGTAACTCAGAGACAATATCTTATCCATTACTTCCAATCCACTATCTTTTTCGCGCACAGAACAGAGAGAATTAAGTGCCCTCTCCCATTCTTCCTTTGTTCTCGGTTTAGTAGCTAACAAGCTGCTTATAGTAACAATAGCCAATGGCAAACCATCACATCTTTTAAGTATCTCATTTCTAATCCCCTCCAGCTGAACAGGAAGCTTATCTCCACTACAGAATGTTCTTTTGAGAAACAAATTTTCAGAATCACTTCTGCTAAGAGGTTTCATTTGGTAAATAAATCCCTCATCTGAAGTGCAACAGAACTGACATATACTTTTGTTACGTGTTGTCACGATTACTCTACTTATATGGGCATTTTCAGGAAGAGCACACTGTATGGTTTCCCACGCTGACTTTGTCCAAACATCATCAATCACAACAAGATACCTATCATCAAGTTTGTGAACAAGTGAGCATTATTTTTGCAATAAATGCAACAGAACTTTGCATACATGTAAAAATTCTACAAGAGTTTATGAAAAATACAAAAAAATGATAAAGTTCTACTCCTTTTTGGTGGTGTTCTGTAGAATTTACAAGCTTTTGCAGACTCTATTTTTTTCATAATTAGGCTCTCTATAAAAAGGGCAGACCCAGTGCCAGGAGGCTCCCACATGAGTGGGGTCTGGAAAGGAAAAAACCGAGGTAAGCCTTTCCCCCGTAAAATCTGTGGAGAGGCTGCTTGAACCCACAACCTGGTGACTCAGTGAGACAGTTCTCACCACTGCACCAGGCTTGCCCTTCTATAATTAGGCTCTCTATGTATAACAAAAATTTAATTCCAAAGGGGTATAATTTCAGTTTCATGTCAATCATTAACTTTCTCATGTGGTATTTCTTTGGAAAAGTCAACTTTTGGTCTCTCAATTCATGCTCAGGTTTGATTTGTACCATGAACTTCAGATATTTGATGGAAGGTGGTTTTGGATGATGTGACATCATACATGACAACATCTGGGCTAATGTGGTTTGAGGATATAGGAAAAATTGTATTATTTGAAATTTTCCATACACTTGTGTTCATCTTTGGATGCCAGGGTCCATTATATAAACAAAACATGGACTTTTCCTAAATGAGATAATTAATGTGTATCTTGTGCGTGAGTAAGGTTGATGTGGCAACACACCAGAAGTTCCAGTTTGGAAGAAACGGACATAGAGATCCGCCAAAATTTCCCAAAAACAATCAAAAGACCTACAAATACGGATTTCCCAAACATGATCATATGAAGTCCAAATATAATGGGATTTTAACCACAACTTCTTTAATCCATTCATTCCATTGTGAATCTTTGGGCAAAGAATCTCCTAAACAATATCAAAATATCACCACTAGTTTCATCGATTTGGAGAAAACCTTGAGAACACGTAAATTTAGACAAAATCCCCACATTCAATGTTTCACTTGATGACACACCAAGATCTTTAGCATATCTAAACATACTAGGAGAGGGGGAGAGAGAACAGAGACAAGGGATAGAATGAAACTTGGACAAATCAAGTCAATGCCATGTTAGCAAATTGGCTTAGTCAAAGCCCCATAGGAAATAAAACCACCGCTAACTGGGATGTGGGAGTAATTTGCTCAGTTTCTAGAGTTCAAGAGGGCAAGGTATCTTTGTAGTTCAAGGGGTAACTAAGAGTTGCCCCTTTTACAAAGGACAGACTTAAATCATATAAATTTCACAAAAAAGATAGAAATTATATAGAGAATAAATCACTCTTTGTACGATTAGAAAAAAAAAATCACGAGTTTCCATGCGGTGGAACCTGCCTGCCTAGGTTAGGCTCACATTTTTAGTTAATAATTTTTTATCAGTAATCCGAGGAAATGGTGCACTTCCTTTTTCAGTTGAATGAATCTTACTTGTTTTGGAACCTTTATCGCAGAAAGCTGCAGTCATGTGAAGTATATTTTGTTTAAGAAAATTTGTTTCAATGCACCATGTTAAAAAAGAAGTTACCAATCTTTAGGCAAACTTGTAATGGCCTTGAGGGTAAATCTGTATTTACTATTCCTTTTCTATCCACCATTGTGCTTGCTGAAGATATCCTCCTAATGTCTGATTAAGATGGGCATGAGCGATTTGCAGTTGAAATGGCATAAAGCGATGAAACAATTTGATGGACCACGCTTAGCTGGCCGACTGGAGATCGGAGAACAGAATCAGCAAAGGAGAGAGAGGATGAGACGAGCAAACACTGGCATTTATTTGATGAATCCGTACCTTTGTTTAGGCTGTCTTTAGTTCGCGAAATAAAAATGTTTGGATGTCACATCGGATATTTTGGGATATCGGAAGGGGTTTTCGGATACTAATAAAAAACTAATTATCAGTAAACTAAGATGGACTAATTAGAAAACACGAGCAACAAACTGGCAATTGTTTTTTTATTTGATGAATCCGTATAATTTGTTTACTATACCATGCCTTACAGTAGCAATTAGCTGGCATGTGTACCATAAAGAACAAACGCAGGACAGGGAGGATGAATTAGTCAAAGTGTTCTTAGTTGATAGTTTCCGTTTTGGATTGCTGTGTCGTGCAGTGCAAAACAAGAGCTATTGCCGTGTAAAGCAAAAAGGCATCCAATTAATGGTTTTGCAGACGTATTCATTTAGCTTTACCCAATAATAACCACCATTGACATTTGATAAAAGAATCTTCAAAGCAAAGTTTGTAAAAGGAAGTGTTCTGAAACAAGCCAAAAAGAAAAGGGAAACTAATCTTTGATTTCTGAGATATATCTTAGACCCTACTTGGATACATAGGACCAACAACTAGTTAACTAATTTTTAATGTTTAAGAGTAACTCCAAGAGTCTCTCATCTAGATCCTTCCTTATTATTAGATAAATAGAGTTTTTTATGAAAAAATATCATCCAACAGCTTCTTTATTTAGTTATCCAAATATAGCCATCTTATATTCTAGATTCTCGCTACCCAAAGATAGAAAATGAGAATGACTCTCTAGAGTGCACACAAGATATAGAAAAATTGTTGGAGAATGGAAAGATATAGAAATCGTTTTTTATGCAAATGACTCTCAAATGATAATTTAGAGAGTGAGATTTAGAAGGACTCTTGGAGATGCTCTAAGGATCTAATAAACATGCAGACTAATTGTTAGTCTGCTAGTCATGAACTAGTTGTTAGTCATGAGTGCATTTATGTGATGATGGATTAATCGAAGGATTCTTTGAATTTGGTAGTATTATTAGTTTTGGATTGCCATTGTGCTAGAATTATTGTCAAGGGAAAGAAGTCAGAGTAACTAATGGTTGTGCAGGAGTAAACACATTTATTTATTTAATTTACTCTTACACAGAAATAACCAAGAAAAGGGCAGATAAACTAACCTTTGATTTTCAAGATATGATCTTAGTTGGTCGAGCAATTGTTGGTCGCTGCGAGATTCCATTGCCATCGATCCTGAGCCTCCAAGTTGAGATAGCAACTCCCGTAGAAGGTTGTTCATGTCGGGCTTTTGCGAAACGGACACAAAAGCTTTACAAGAGAATCGACTCTTAATTTTTTCGTACACCTGTTTAGCAAGAGTAGTCTTGCCTGAACCTCCAGGTCCAACAATGGAGACAACCCTCCTTCGCTGCGATGGGTTTTTGCCAACGAGCCGGCCAATGATCTCCTGGCTTGGGCCCTCGATGCCAACAAGTTTTTCCACCTCCACATAGAGTGCATGTACCCGAGGATCGATCTCCGTGTAGATGCTAGAGCTGCCCTCTTCAAACGTGTATTTCTTTCTACGATCGTACGCTTCGTTGACAAGATCATGAAGGTCTTGGATCTCCTTAGCAAACTTGTGGCGGTAATGTAGTTTCTTGAGCTTCCTTATCTTCTTGCGGAAGAACCTCTTCACCACCCCAGTAGCCGTATCAGCTGGTTCATGGTCGACGTGGTGGGTGAAGAGGTCGATGCTGTCCTCCATGTCGTAGGCCAGCTCGCGCATCTCCGCCGCCCAGCCTTGGCCTGCGCGTCCGGGTTCTCCATGGCCGTGAGCTTCTCCAGCGCGAGGTTGATGGCCATCAGCTCCTTCCTGAGCTGCTCCAGCTTCTTCCTCACGTTCTTGAGCTCGGTGTACTTCTTCTCGATGAGGCTAGTGAGCTTGCCGAGCACAGGCCCCATCACCCCCGTCAAGGCGCCCACCATAATCTTCTCCTCAACTCCTCCCATCTTCAGATTTTGCTAGTTCCTCCTCCAAACAATTGACCCTCCCCTCACATACTCGTCAGATATTGGAATTTAGGACTAGATCTGGCTGCAACAACCACCCTTCAGTGAAGCGTTGACTTTGCAGCAGCTCTTCGATGGCAGGCACGAAACAGGCTAGCCGAAGACTGTCTTGTTCAAGGTTTGATGCACCTAACGTAGATGGTGATCCAAAATTACTAAATCCGCTATACTCCGTACCTATCTATGCCTACATCAGTTTCTTTTTTAAATTGATGTATGTAAAGAGCATCTTCTCCAGCTAGGATACGTCAGCATCGATCTAAAATAACGTGGAGCATTGATTTAGAAATGACACTCTAAATAAAAACAAGAAGTTTTGCAATTGTATAATTGTGGTCGTGTGGATAATTTAGTTATTTGTTCACAAACTTAATTGACCTCTCAATCATCTGTCTCAAGTCTGCAGGATCTTTCGGGCGCCAGACATCTCAAATGATCGCTGAGGCAGAGGCAAGTGCCAACCATTTGACAACCTTCACCTGGTAGAATTGGCGAAGCGAGCTATGATTTCCAAAAAATATTGTATTTAGGACGATGATCCCCTAGCTTAATTGTTGGTCTTCTTTCAAATGATGTAACAATTCTCGATCAATAAAGCTCTACGGCTTGGTTTTGTCAAAAAAAAAAAACTTCACCTGGTAGAATTATCGTGCCAATTTATTTATGCTCTGAACAGTTTTCTATAGATAATACATAGAGATAGAAATGGACCGGATTATGGTGAACAGTAGCACGCCATTTTTTAAAAGGAGCACTACAATTCTAGAATTGAAAATACTAATGTAAACCAACATCATCCCACAGCGCTATCTTTAACTTGGTCATAACATATTTCTTTCCACAATATACAGCCACAAGGGACTCTGAGATGGCGTGATGAATCATTTTCACTCTATAATCTATATCCAACACCAGTACAAGTCTAGACAAACAAACAGGATGACTGGAGTGGGAAGATCATGAAATCTCTATCAAGGGGATGATCAGCAACTACATACAAAAATCTTGCGGCATAGCATGGTATGATCAAGTAAATGTGTGACAACGGAAGGTCATCGACCAAATAAACTTGTTGCCGAGGACAACAGACCAGACGAGATGAATTTCAGTCCACTAGATCCTCCAGGGAAGTAGGATATAGTGTAATATGCAAGGGCCAGAACCTGGGTCAAGAAAAGAGTGAAAAATTGAGTGAGTCTGAAAAGCAGAATGCACAAAAGAATGCTGAGGTATTGCAGTTTCGCAGGCCATATGCCAGATGATAACTCATCATGACACTGTATTGTTCGATAAAGAAGTAGGGAAGGAGAATTATTTTGTTTTCTTTTCTTTTCTAGGAGTGGAGGGGATGGCAAACTCTTCCCTCCCCTTTGAAGAAGGCACTGGTTATGAACTCATTGTTCAGATTAGCAGCCTGTTCTAGATGTGTCATAAACGGAAAGTCGGAAACTACACCTAATGCACTAAAATTCGACATGTTCAACAACTGAGTGTTGCAGAAATGCGTATGTTGCGATGGATTTGCGGTCACACAAGAATGGACCGAGTTCGGAACGATGATATACGTGATCGCCTAGAGGTAGCACCAATTGAAGAAAAGCTTGTCCAACATCGGTTGAGGTGGTTTGGCCATGTCCAAAGGAGGCCTCCAGAGGCACCAGTGCATTGTGGAGTCCTAAGCCAAGCTAATAATATGAGGAAAGGTAGAGAAAGACCGAAATTGACATGGGGGCAGGCAATAAAAAGAGATTTGAAAGCTTGGGATATACCTAGAGATCTATGTTTGAATACGAGTACTTGGAAAGCAGCTATTGAAGTGACTGAACCGTGACTTGGGGATCTTGGTGGGTTTCAACTCTAGCCTACCCCAACTTGCTTGGGACTGAAAGGTTATGTTGTTGTTGTTGTTGTTGTACACCTAATGCACTAAAACAAATGACCTTACAGTATAGCAAGATTTGAACAAACATAGACGGAGTCAAAAAAAAATCTTGATCAAAAACATACCTGAAGGACTGAGAAGATCACAGAGAGGAAATAGCTGTGAAGCACCATAGAAACATAAATCGTACCAACCATGCATCCAATAAATCCCACTGAAAACGGTAGCCTCTGAAGAGGATATGAGACAAAATTCTTCATTAGATATCATGTGTTTCCATGTTACAAATATTGCAGCCATTTAAGAAAATTAAGACAGTACGAGAACTACTTATAAATTCTACAGAAACAATAAAAAGGTCTAGCTTCACTATGAAGTCAGCGTTAACAGTTTTAAAGAAAATCCCTTGTCTTGCCAGCTAGAAGAATATGAAGTTATGAACAACGTAGGAATTGCCAAAGACAAATAAATTTACCAAGCAGTGGATTAACAATTGAACTAGACTCAAGATGTACTCATTGACATGCATCAAATGACTTGATTTCTCAAATTAGAAAGTTCAACCTAGCACAAGTGGGAAATATGTAGCTGGTACGGACTTGCAGCTTTTATGATGTTTTTGAAGGCATTAAGGGTGTGGAAGGTAGATTAGGTATGTTAAGCAACCATTAAGCAATAGTGGGAAGTCATTTCGCCATAGGCATCAAAGCAATGTTGTCATCAATTTCAGCTAGGGGTGAGGTTGGTCAAAGTAAAGAATACCCCACAGCCGCAACATTTTTATTTTGACCCAATTTCGGCTGATGAAAGTGACTCTCAACAAATGACTCAACAATTTCAGCTGATGAAAGTGACTCCCACCAGATGACTCGTCTCTTTCAACTCTAGATTTTATGTAATGTTGTCAACAAGCAAAACAAGATGAGAGGCTGGATAAAAAGCCACATCTTTATTTGGAACCAATTTGGGCTAATAGAAGTGACTCCAGCCAAAAAAAATGCATTTCATTCAGGTCTAGATTGGAATTCCCTAGAAACTTGAGGTTTTCAAATCCTGATACTGATGGTATAACACTGCACATTATGATTCAATAGAAATAAGCAAGATGAATGAAGCACATATTGAAGCCAGTTATAGTAAAAAACACAACTGAACTTAAAATAATAATTCTGGGTTGGGAGGAGGTTGTTCCTATGGATTTTAAGTTGCACCAACCATTCTGTCCACTACACAGATCCAAGAGTATTTTATTTGCACTCCACAGATTTAATTACTAGGAAAACACTGTAGCAAGCTTTGTTAGAAAGCTCAGAATGTTGAGCCAAATATTTATGCTTTTATAGGATATATCTAAAGAACCCAAACCATTTGTTTAGATTGATGATACTTACCCTCTGAATTGCTTGTTTGATATTTTATTATGTTATCTTTTACCAGACAATCTATATATGAAACAGAAGGGGGATAAGGAACCGTTACTTCAACTTTGCAATATCCATTGATAGACATACAAAAATTTTCCCTAAAACATACAAAAAATGAAGTGTGATACTAAAAAAGAACACAGATAAGCTACAGCCGATTCTAGAGAAATATCAATTGATAGACATCGAAACAAATTCTCAATATCAATTAATAACAGTCCTTTGCAGCTTGGAGATGGCCATAATTTATAAGCTGAGCTCACCAAGGAACTCAAGAGCAAGATTTGCTTCTTGTTACCACACGTTACAAAATCATTAGTGCTGGATTCAAAATCACAGACGGCTCTATGTTGGGTTCAAAAGTCTAGTGGTAACAAACCAGTGGTAACAAATCCTGACAAATATAACAGGATCAAACTGATAACTAGCTGATTTATGGCTTCAAGGACTCGGAAATTTTCAGAAAACAGCTTACAAACCCAGTTTGACTATATATCATTAGTTCATAATAGATTATAGCAGCAACAGCATACCGCCCTCCCAAAGGATAAAGTGAAGCTTAATGTTTAAATTACAGGAAGCGTAGAAGTAACAGCAGTGCAGAGCCGAGCTAACTGCATTACCTCCTTGGAGGTCATGTGGGCGAGCTGGTTGGCAGGCCCCTTGAGCGCGAAGAGCGAGGCAATGATGAGCGCGCACCCGAGCGTGAAGCAGATGGCGAACTTCTGCGGCATGAGCACCATGACGGGGAGGAAGAGCGCGAAGGCGATGAAGACGAAGAAGATGCCGGTGGCGAGGAAGAGGCCGAAGTACATGAGCGCCTTCCCGGAGGGGAAGCTACTGGTGGCGCTCTGGAAGCTCCCCGGGAGCTCCCGCACGCCCTTGGTGACCCTGCGGCAGTCAGATCAGATCCGATGAGAGGAAGCGGGGGGAGACCGGATCTGAGGGTTTGGGGTCGGGATGGGGAAGGGGGCGCTCACGAGCTGAAGGTGCCGGAGACGGTGTCGTTGGCAGAGCGGACGGCGGCCTCGATGTCGAAGGGGAGCGGCGAGGACGAGGAGGCGTCGGAGCGGGTGGCGGCGTACGAGTTCCAGTCCGAGAGGAGGGACGGCTGCGACTCGGCGGCGGTGCCGGAGGAGGCGGCGGTTCCGCCGGTGAACCAGGCCTGCGCCGTCTTGTGCATCGCGGCAGCTGCGGGCCTGCGGCGACGGCGACGGCGACGGGGGTGCGGCGGGGCGGGCCGCGGGCGGGAGTGGAAGCGGACAGCGGAGGTAAATGGGAGGAAAACGACGGGACTTTTTCTTTGCGAGAAAGAATTGGTTTTCCAAGGCCAGTGTCAGGCCATTTCACGAGGATTTTATGCACACGTCAGCAAAAATTGAATCTTTGTATTTTTTATTGCCTCTCATT